CAATCCAGGTTATAAAGGTGTATTGCTCTCTCTACCATAGAAGCAGAATATATTGCTGCTACAGAGGTATGCAAAGAAATGTTATGGATGAAAGAATTCTTACAAGAATTGGGGCTGAAACAAGAAAATTATGTGGCGCATTGTGACAGCCAAAGTGTCATCCATTTGTGTAAGAACCCAATGTTTCATTCCAAGTCAAAGCATATAGATGTCAGATACCACTGGATTCGAAATGTATTTGAAGAGAAGCAGTTGCAGCTTCAGAAAATTCATACAGATGACAACGGAGCAGACATGTTGACGAAGACCTTACCAAAAGAAAGACAGGAGATATGCCGACAGTTGGTCGACATGGCTTTACATTGAGGAGTCATGGGACAGCCTCCCTTATGGGCTGAAGGGGGAGGTTGTTGGGCTGATGGCCCATATTCAGCCCATGTGGGCTTTATCAGCCCACAGCCCACACCCCCTCTTAAACTAACCCTAATTAAGATTACGGGGGTGTGGTGGCTGCGTTTTAGAGGCAGATTAAGGCTATAAAAAGGCAGCAACGAGGCAGATCTTTGGAGTCACGAGATTCCAAAGAGAAGAAGGAGAACAAGGCAGAAAAGGAAGAGAAAGAAAGGGAAGAAGACAAGGACAACGCAGAGAGACTGTTCTCAATCATCGAGCAGTGTTCTCATCTCAGGTTAGATCAAATCTACAGTAGGCTCTTGCTGTGATTACTTGGGAGGTTTTAGATATTGTGGGCAGTGACATGATCCTTGTATCCCAGTTATTCTCTTGTGGTTGTTGCTAGGGTTTTGGGCAAGAGATTGAGATTTGTACATTCATTATTCTTATAGTGGATTATCTCTAGTTTACCCCGTGGTTTTTACCCTTCACATTGAAGGGGTTTTCCACGTATATCTTGGTGTTCTGTTTGATTATGTTTCCATTTTATTCCGCTGCGTATTTTGGTCTTCTAGCATTTGTTCCTATACAAAGGTTATTCCTGTTTATATCCCCATCATTCACACCCCTCATAAAAATTGACAGCAATCGCTCCTCACCAAGCCCTACCACCTCTCGAGGAAGAACCTTAGTTGCTTTGCAATGCCTCTGCTCCAATTGCTCATCCGTCCCTAGCAACCCCACCGTCATTCCTGCAAAAGCACGACATCTCCTCACTGCGGTCGATTTCTCGCTTGAAGATGCTGCAGTTCATATCTATTCCAAATGGCTGAGGACAGCGGTAGAAGCGCTTAGTGAGTCATGCACGCATCTCCCTGGGCTTCCTCTTCATTGGTGAGAAACCCTTCCTAGTAGATCTGCACCTTCTTCCTTCAGCAGCTGCGATCTATTGATCGTGGGCCACTCTCTACTTCTTACTCGTCGCCGCTAATTCCCGATCACTATCACGCTTCCAAGAGGTAGCCATCCTTGCCAAACGTTCGTTAGGCTTTGTCTGCACTGCAATAGCACCCCAGGCATGGCTTTGGCGAAGTTGCACCGAGGCGAGTGCAGCTTCGTCGCGTCCTGCTCCACCTCGTACAATACCCTTTAGAAGAGCTCGACACCGCAGGGGAGCTTGAGCAGCCTAACGACGGTGTACTCGAACTCCTTCTCCGCCTCGTCGAGCAGCATCCTGAACAAAGAGTGGTTGACGCACTTGGTGCAGACCATGAACTGCTCTTAGATTTATAGATCTCTCACAGATCTACGACAAGAACTACAGATCTCTCATAGATCTACGACAAGTATTGTAGATCTCTCATAGATCTGTGACAAGAACTACAAATCTCTTACAGATCTACGACAAGAACTACAGCATCCCTCTTTCCTCTCTCTCTTCCTAGCGGACGATACTCCTAAGGGAAGCATAGGTGCTGCAAGCACTGCATCATCTTCCTTGCCATGGCAAAATCAAACGGAACTTCTAGTCCCGCCCGGATTTGTCACCTCCAGTAACGTTGATCAGATCAACACTTTCCTCCTTAGCAAACGATGACTGTCTTCTTCTACTGCCACTCTACATTGCTATGGTGCCTCTAGTGTTGCATCCACAAGTGCTACTTCTCCTCCTCCGACAGTTGTGATTCTCTGATCGTAGGCCGCACCTTCAACCCATTGACAACTGCTCGCCCGAACCTCTTCTTCAACAAAGATCCTTCACTTTAAAATTTGCATGAAGAAGAGTTACAACTTTGCTCCATATCCCTCCTATTGCATAATCAAATCAAGCTAGTATAGGAGCTAATTCCTTACTGTTATGTCGCAAACTCTCATAGCCCTTGGATCAGTATACATCCTTAGAATATCTTCATCATCTACTTCTAACATTTCAGTTATTGTTTCTACAAGAAATCATAGTACTTCTCCACATACAGAACTTATTTCATCAATGTTGTCATACTAATCCCTTTCAAGTTATCAAAAGGCGACAACAATGCATCTTGGCGAGCCTAATTTTCTAAACCTATTTGGATACGACTTACTAGGCTACGTTAATGGTTCTCTCAATTGTCCACTAACAATGATCAACAGAGTGTAGAGAAATCTAGGGGCGACATCACAAGCACAATGGAAGAATATAAAACAAAAATTTTAAATTTCCCAAAAGGTGTTCATCGTCGTGCGAAGATTGGTGTGTTACAACAGAGCCTAATTTTATATCCTTGAATCTCTATAGATCTGTTGGAGATTATGAAGGAGGTCAAGCGTCTTCCTCTCTAGCGGTGATCCATACAACAGGGCTATGACGACGCTCCTCAAATCTTCACACCTGCTATCTGAGGAGGAAAAGATGAGAGGAGAATAGAAGGTGACAACCAAGAAGCTATAGCCAATGAGCCTTTAGTTCCCTCCTATTTATAGAGGCTTCAGTTAACCATAATGGATACTGCCCTATTGGGTACTAGATCTCTATCCAATTACCCACGAGAGCGAGAAGAAGAAAGATCTAAACTATCGAAGAAGAAAGCCGAAGATAAATGCATTAGGAAACGAGACTATATATTGTCAAAAAGAGTGCCTTTATCTAGGAAAAACATCAGCACAAACGCCTGGGAAATACTTGTTATAACTGGATTAATTTAAACTTGTGTAAGGCCTTCATGATCTCTAGATCACAGTAGATACAGGAAGAATTCTTCTTAGGTTCAAAGCTTATTGTGCCTTTAAACTTTTACTGAACTTCTCAGGGTGTTTGTTCTGGAACAGAAACTAATTGAATGAACATCTGAGGGTGTTGATCCAATGAAAAAAACAATTGAAAGATAATGTTTCTGGAAGCAGTGGTATAGTGATCAACTGAATCAAGGTTGAATTGATGATATATTCCCAGAATTCAACATGTTATTAGTTAAGGCCTCAATGGAAGACCGAGAAGAGGAGAGCTACGTGGGGATGTATCTGCAATTCCACCTGTCTCCTTTCGAATGAATGCTCCATTAGTCCTGCCGACAAGCCCAGGGATTCCAGGAGTCTCGGTGGACTGTCAAACCGACCTTACCAACTCCAACAAGAAGAAAGAAGATGAATCGTCGAGAGCCCTCTTCATTCTGGCACTCAACTACAGTGGCTACCATACGTAGGATCCTTATCCAGACGCGTCTAAGATATTTCATGTAATCCATCCGTCTTCCTGCTACCGCTTTTGAAGAACTTGCTCATGTCTCGCACGTTGGTGCAGTATTTGATGACACATCACCAGCTCTCTCTTTCGCTTTCTCTCTGTCGTTATTCAAGGAGTGGATATGTCGATACATGAAGAGCCGTTCATCTTCCCTGCACAGAGGAAAAGGAGTGCTTCTCGTGGACGTTAAGCATTATTTAGATATCATGTCAGTCCATGGTCGGTTAACTGGATCTTTCTTTGGTCGATTTCACGTTAGTTAGATCATGGTCGGTTAACGGACAGTCTTCCCGGGATTCCAGGTGGTGAAATCTGGTTGGCCAGATATATTTTGACCTTTCAAACCAAACACTTCATCGTTCTTCCCATAGTAAGAGCAACTTGACCATCAGCTCACGGGTCAATGGGTCCAAGGAGTTGTTTTTCTTGATCACCTTGCCGCCTATATATACTGATAGAAGATCATAATATCCTCAATCAATCTATGATCAACGATAGATTTGTATATACTGATAAAAGATACTATGATCTTCTATCATATAAACCAGCCATGGCCCTTGATGGCGATCCTGTTCTCCAGTTACCTTCTCTGAAGCCCAAGTTGTCTGCTTCTTGTTCTGCCTCTTGGCTCTGAAGCAACTTTACGTGTCACTTTGGAGGGTCTGACCTTGAAGAACAGCTTTGATTTCTGCAACTCTCCAATATTACGGCTCCAATTCTCATCTGAAGAAGGTCCCCATCTCATCTCCTGTTTTGCCTCTTGACTGTAAGCACTCTTCTTTGTTGTTTGTGGAGGCTTTGAATTCTTAGATATAGCTTTGCTTACAGTTCTCTGCATCTCCACTTCCACCAGTGAATTGAATCATCCCTCTTCTCCACTTGTTTCAGCTTTGATTTCCATCATAGTTCACACCATCACTTCCTCCCCTGTTTTCTCTTTCCCCTGCTTATGGCTCCTCCTGATGTTGTGTGCAACAACAATGAAGCTATTGGCTTCACTAATCTCTTCTCACTTTGTGATGGAACGTTCGCCATCAATGGCGTCACATTACTCTCGAAAGTTCCGGGAAATGTTACCTTCAGTAGCTTTTCCACCATATGTCCCGCTTCCGATGCTCCTCCATCGCTCATCAAGCAAGTCAAGTCTCGATCCTCTAGAGGCGGCTTCCTCGGATTCTCGCAACCGGCGGTGGCCGATCGGCTGGTGAACTCGCTAGGCAAGTTCAGCAGCAGAAACTTCCTCAGCATCTTTAGGTTCAAGACATGGTGGTCGACCATGTGGGTGGGAAGTTGCGGCTCAGACTTGCAGATGGAGACGCAGTGGGTGCTCTTCCAAGTCCCCGAGCTGAGCTCCTACGTTCTCCTCCTTCCCTTGATCGAAGGGAGATTTCGGTCCGCCATCCACCCAGGCAATGACGACCACGTCCTCATCTGTGCGGAGAGTGGATCCTCTCAAGTGCAGGCTGATTCCTTCAAAGCTATAGCTTACATCCATGTCTGTGACAACCCCTACACCTTGATGAAAGAAGCTTACAGTGCCGCAAGGGTCCATCTCAACACGTTTAGGCTGAGAGAAGAGAAGGCAGTCCCTCCCATAGTAGACAAGTTTGGTTGGTGCACTTGGGATGCTTTCTACTTGACCGTCGACCCTGTCGGAGTGTGGCATGGCGTGAAGGACTTCGTCGACGGCGGTCTTCCACCGAGGTTTCTTATAATCGACGATGGCTGGCAAAGCGTCAACTTGGATGGAGACAACCCCCTGGAGGACGCAAAGAACCTCGTGTTTGGAGGAGAACAGATGACTGCTAGGCTCTACAGGTTCGAGGAGTGCGAAAGATTTAGGAGGTACAGGGAAGGCACTCTCCTGAGTCCTGAAGCTTGTTCTTACGACAAGAACAGGCCTAAGATGATTCTATGCAAAGCTAAAGAACTAGAGAATGCTAAGAAGGCCAGGGATAAGGCAATCCGTGACGGGACAACTGAATTATCTGGTTTCGATCGCAGAATCGTCGAGCTCAAGAAAGAGATCGACCAAATGCTTGCAGACAGGGAAGAGCTGCCGGTGGATCGCAGTGGGAGTTCCAGCAGTACTGGCTTGAGAGCTTTCATCGAGGATCTGAAGACAAAGTTCAAAGGACTGGATGATGTGTACGTGTGGCAAGCTCTCTGTGGAGCGTGGGGTGGAGTGAGACCTGGCAGCACCCATCTTGACTCCAAGCTGGTGCCCGTCAACCTCTCTCCAGGATTAGCTGGGACGATGGACGATCTCGCGGTCGACAAGATCATCGAAGGCGGCATTGGCCTGGTTCGGCCGGACCAGGCGGCCGATCTGTATGATTCCATGCACTCCTATCTCGCCAGCACCGGAGTGACCGGCGTCAAAGTGGATGTCATTCATGTGAGTTTCTACATGTTTGATGTAATGTTTCTGTGTTTATATTGCTAATAGATTCGTGTTGCTGATTCAGACACTGGAATACGTGTGTGAAGAACATGGAGGCAGAGTCGAGCTCGCAAAGGCTTACTACGATGGCCTGTCGAGGTCCCTCGTCAAGAACTTCAATGGAACAGGGATCATATCCAGCATGCAGCAGAGCAACGACTTCTTCTTCCTCGGAACTCGGCAAGTGGCCATGGGCAGAACAGGTGAGAACCCAAACTGATTCAACCTGATGGGGATTCCAAGGACGAAGAGTCATCGGTTTGATCGTTGATCTTCTTGACAGGTGACGATTTCTGGTTTGAGGATCCTCATGGAGATCCCATGGGGATCTACTGGCTGCAAGGAGCGCACATGATCAATAACTCTTACAACAGCCTGTGGATGGGCGAGTTCATGCAGCCGGATTGGGACATGTTCCAGACCGACCACGCCTGCGCCGAATTCCACGCGGCTTCGAGGGCCATCTGCGGCGGACCCGTCTACGTGAGCGACTCGCTCGGCTGCCATGACTTCAATCTCCTCAAGAAGCTCGTCTTCCCCGACGGCACCATTCCCAGGTGCCAGCATCATGCTCTGCCAACCAGAGACTGCTTGTTTAAGAACCCCCTCTTTGACGAGAAGACCATCCTCAAGATCTGGAACTTAAACAAGGTAAGCAACACTCACCACATCCAATCTCTTTTCATCGAACAACCAGCTTTGCCAGCTCCCTGAATACACACTATCTGTAGTTTGGAGGTGTCGTTGGAGCTTTCAATTGTCAAGGTGCAGGGTGGGATCCGAAGGAGAAGCGAGTGAAAGGTTACCCGCACTGCTACAAGCCGATGGCAGGAGCTGTTCATGTGACCGACGTCGAATGGGCTCAGAAGAAGGAATGCGGTGGGATGGGCGAGGCTGACGAGTACGCTGTCTACCTGCACCAGGCGAAGGAGTTGTTGCTGATGACTCCGAGCTCCGACGCCATCCACTTCGGGTTGCAGCCATCTTCCTTGGAGCTCTTCAACTTCGTGCCGGCGAGAATGATCGGTGGCGACTGCAAGTTCGCGGCGATCGGGCTGGTGAACATGTTCAACAGCGTGGGAACGTTACTGGAAGTCGAAGCAGGTGAGGGTGAGGGTGGGATTGCTGTGAGGATGAAGGTGAAGGGTGGAGGTGAGCTGATGGCTTACTCCGACAGGAAGCCGGAGAGAAGCTATGTGAATGGAGTTGAGGTTGGATTTGAGTGGGGAGAAGATGGAAAGCTGAGAGTGGATCTTGCTTGGGAGGAAAACAATGGTGGTGTCTCTGAGGTCACATTTGCCTACCGATTCATTGGGGAGAGCTAGTAGGAGCTTCCATGTCTGCTCTATCTTCTTCTCTCTTTGGCTTGTGTGCGGTTTCATCCATTGTCAATTTATGGTAATAACTCCTTCAAGGTTTTGCAATAAATTATATATTTGTTAGGGTCTTGATAATTAGTTGCCATAATTAGTTGGTTTTCACCATACTAATAATATTAAGGACATGGAACTGTAAACATTTATATGATCAGATCTGTTGTCATCTCAATCGTCTGTCTGTCCCTCCCATAACAAAATAAATATAACAAAATTACGATGAAAATAAACATTCGGTAGAAAGAAGAGATGAAATGAAATTAACATTTTTTGGTGAAAGAATAAAATTAAGACATTTGATCATAACATCATGCAAGAACGTAAAGATGAGCCATAGCATATTACCACATAACGTGAAATAACAGTCAACTGCACCAGCTAAAAGTACCAAGTCGGTGCTCTCGGTCAAGCATGTGGGTCCCGCCTGTCCATTGCACTCTTCCATCACGTCCCGGGTTCTGGGTTGGCTACGTCGGTGTCGGAAGGGCGGCCCTAAAACCACGGGCCACGGTCCATGATTAGACCGACTAGGATTGACGTGGCGTATTGTTCTTCTACCCAAGAAAGCCCGCTCTTGGAGGCAGACCAAACCCCGAATCTGATCTCGCGCTGGGGCCCGCCATCATCAGCAAGCACCACACACCAATCCGGGCACCCAGGCCATGTTGCGGGTTAGGTCCTCGTTGGTATAAATTATTATATCATCGTCCGCACAAGACTCATGCTGTAATATCGCACATCGTCACGCTTGCCGGACTCTCACCCATTAACTTCTGCCACTGATCCTTCCGACATGATGTGGGTTCCATGGATAAAGGCAAACATGGCGTCTGATAAGTTGTGGGTGCCTTCACGAGTCACGTTTTGCGATGTGGGGAATAAGCGACGAAAGGTCCTCACAGCGGACCATATTCCCCTCTCAAAGGCCGCTCTGTCGCCTCCGCCGCCGGCCGCTCTAGACTGCGCGCTCCCCCCGCCATCCTGCGCACCTCTCCCTCTTCTTCTTATTTCCTTTCTCCTCTCTTCTCTTCTCGCCGTATCTTCATATCTTTCCATCTCTATCGCCGGAGGGGAGGAGATCCCCTCTGGGGTTGTCGCGGTAGGGGGGTGAGGTAGAGCTAGGGTTTTGGCGAGAGATGTGGGATGCTGCGACAGTTGATGAGGCTGCTGACGTCGCTGTGGAGGCCGTTTGGCGGGAGAGGAGGAGACGCCGCAGGCGGGGGCGGTGGTGGTGACGGGGCCACGGGACGGGAGGGGCGGGATGGGCTCCTCTGGTACCGCGACCTCGGCCGCTGCGCGGGTGGCGAGTTTTCCATGGCCGTGGTCCAGGCCAACCAGGTTCTCGAGGACCAGAGCCAGATCGAGTCCGGCCCCTTCGGCACCTTTATCGGCGTCTACGATGGCCACGGTGGCCCCGACGCCGCGCGATACGTCTGCGACCATCTCTTCTCCCGCTTCAGAGGTGGCCTCCCGACTCCTCCTCTTGTGAACTCTACGCTTCTTTTGGTATTTGACCATCTGACGCCTGTCGCCCAATTTCAATGATTTACCTCCAAAAAAAGTTGCTTTTTTTTTTTTCCTAGCAGAGCATCGTAGAAACATTCATTTCATTGTAGTAGAATCTCTGTTCTTAGTGCATTCATTTATAATTCCTTTCTGAAATTTGTTGTTTGTTTGCATACGATTTTCTATTTTCATGATTATTTTATATTGACCATGGTTCAGATTCAAGGTTGAATTGGAATGCTTGGATCCATCCCCAGGCGATGATCCATCTGCTGCTTCCTTCATGCATGCACCTATCTCTTGATGTCAAGTCGGTGTACATTGCATTTGACTACTTTGTTGTCGCTTGCCAAACCTTGATGTATTCTTGGTCTCTGTGCTTTCCATTATCATTTTAGGGCCTCCAGCCTGATGGTAAGAGTGGAGTGAGCAAAATTAGTGTCATGACACTACTCAATAGGGTAACTGACTCATTAACTTGATAGATGTTAAATCATATGGTCTGGAATGCTTAAGCTTTAGTTAATGAGTTACCCATGAAACTTTAGACCTCCATTTCTGATACACGAACTAGGGTGCTACAATTTTTTCCACTTATGGGTTCGGCCTGGTGATTTCATGGATGACCAACATCATCCAGAATCATGGTTTTTCTATATCATGACATGTTTTCAGTCACATTTATTGATAGTTATTTCTTACTCGGGGACTCTCATCATGTTCTGATCTGATGTCATTTTGTTACGGACCATAATTGACCCATGTTATCAAACTACTTAAGCCTAAATTGATAGTACACTCATTTAACCCTTGTAGATCAACTTAAATCTTGTCCCACTTACAATGTGAGACTAAAGTGGAGTGTTACAATTACGCTGACTTTTTCACTTTAATTAGGACATGTTACATTCTCGTAAATTCATTGGTTGATGAATCTGTGAAACTTCATAATTTTAGGGTCACATCTTCCACAAACTCTCATCTAGGAATGTCAAGTCGCAGGTATGTCTCAGCATTCACAAATTCGATTTTTTCTTGATAATTTTTCTGAACAATTGATCTCATTTTAAACTGCAGTTTAGGTGTTATCATTAGTTGTGATACAAGATTTTCATTACATGAGTTTCCTTTTCTCTTAAGCTAGAATTACTTACATAGTATAAAAGTTTGGTTTTAAATGAACTTTTATTGTACCACACCATATGGGTTTTCAGCTTCCATGGATGGGAACTTTCCTAAATCACAATTGGTAGACAAATTCTTACCTATTTAGCTCCTTCTGTTGCTTGCAATGCTTATCATATAGTATAAAAATTTTCTTTCCTATGTTTTCATACTTGTAAATATTAATAAGCTTTCAAACTTCTACTATATTACTTCCTTTTTATATTTTTCCAAGTCATTAGGTGCCGTCTTTATGCAGAAATTTCATCTGGACCACAGGGCGTGACATCTGATGGCATCCGAAGAGCTTTCTTAGCAACAGAAGAAAGTTTTATTACACTGGTTTCTCAACTATGGAACACTCAACCAGATATAGCAACTACAGGTTGCTGCTGCCTTGTTGGTGTTATCTGCCAGAGGACCCTCTACGTAGCGAATCTTGGTGATTCTCGTGCTGTTCTCGGAAAGAAGGTTGGCAACACCGGTGAGATTGCAGCAATATCATTGTCAAGTGATCACAATGCTAATGTGGAGGCTGTAAGGCAGGAGCTTAAGGCACATCACCCAAATGATCCAGAAATTGTTGTTCTTAAACATGGAGTTTGGAGAATCAAAGGCATCATACAGGTCAATGTGTTGGAACATTTCCAAACATGTTATTAGTCATTTTATCTTATCTTGCTAGTGGTTATTCTTTGGTTTGGTTACTTGAATGTTCTCTGTGTTTTGGGAAAGTTATTCTGAATATTTTCTTCATCCAGCCACTTCTATCATATGGTAATTAGTAAATAAATGTTTAGATAAAATTGCTCATTGCACATGATAGACATTGGTTTTCACCTAACCCATCTAGGACTTGATTTACGACATTTTGTCTGCCTGACATATCTCCATTTGCCCACATTATATGTTCCCTTGCCACCCTGAGGTCTATTGACGAGGAAAAAATAAGCCTATCTTTTATAGTGAGAAAATGTCTTATAATGGGTAATTCTTCCATCATCCTCCAATTCTCCCAGCTACTAACATCAGCATTGTGATTCAGAGAGGCAATGGTATGGTGGTGCTGGTCGATGTTAGGGAGAGTGTCTTGTAGAGGATGGCGAGGGAGTGGGGAGAGGCATTGATGAGTGGTAAGGTACAAGGAAAGAAGAAAACTTGCATTTATGTTTTATCAATACTCAAGAAATGCCTATGATATAGTTCTTAAAGAGATCATATGAGATTGATAGAAAAAGTGGTACTTACTGATAAATAATTTATATGATAGAGATGCCACTAAAGTTAGGATTTTCAAACAAGTATCCCATAAGATTCCTTTTTATATAAAGGATCAATTTGGAGTTCTTATATTTTTTTACAATTGGTGGATTTCTTTTGTTACATATTCAGAACAATCTTCCATAACACATGTTATTTCCTGATGATATTGTTTTGGCTGATAAGAGTGTAGTTGGAATAAGTTTTATAAATGAGTTGTGCAAACAAACATTAGAAAGTAAAGGTTTTAAACTACGTAGAAACAAGATCGAATTTATGTATATTTACGTCAGCACTACCAAGAGAACCTAGAGAAGAGTCATTGCTATAATCAAGATAGATGGACATTAAGTAAAATTGTCTAGATGCCTTCTATCTATAATTTATTAAGAGCAATAGAATAATAAAAATAGTGTTCATAGAGTTGAAGGTGAAATAATAAAATGGAGAAAGCCATTAAAAGTTTTGTGTGATCAATGAATGTTTATCCTTTAGATTAGAGGAAAAATCTTGTTAGACAATTGTAAGGCCAATTATATATTATCGATTAGAAACTGACACTCTTAGACCCTGTGTTATGGATTATATTATAATTTCCTATGAGTTTATTAAGTTGGTATTGTTACACAGTGTATAAATATGATGTGTGTCAGACCTTGCCTTATCATAGGGTATATCTTATATGGGTTACGACTGTGGTATTATGTCTGGTTTCTCGATAAGGTGTAGGTGTTACAAACTTATTTACCAGTTTTCATGTTAATCCTATATCTTCCATAAATCATATTCAGTTAGTGTTATCAGATTACATACTTTTGCTGTACCTCTTTTTCTGTTGTGTATGTTCTCTCTGTTGGTCTCAAAAAGATTTTATAACTCATAGCTTTATTTGAGATGTTCATGAGTTATAATCCCAGAGGTGTTTTGATAATTAATATAGCCATGTCAAACTATCAAGTAGTACCGAGCAGTTAATTTATGATTTGTATCCATGGGATATGTATTCTTGTTAATTTATGGTGCAAGAAATTTAACTAATTTACATGAAAAACAATCACAGACTTTTCCCATTGACTATTGTTTTATTTCAAACTACAAAATTGCCTTTTTGATCTTGCAATGTTCTCTAAGCTTTAATTTGTATGATCAATTGCAGGTTTCTAGATCTATAGGTGATGCATACATGAAATATGCTCAGTATAACCGAGAACCAATCAATTCAAAGTTCAGAATACCCGAACCCATGAACATGCCTATCTTGACTGCCAATCCATCTATCACGACTCATCATCTTCAACCAAGTGACTCTTTCCTCATATTTGCTTCAGATGGTCTGTGGGAACACCTAAGTGACCAAAAGGCAGTTGAAATTGTTCACAGTCATCCACGTGCAGTAAGCATTTTTAATTTATTCTTGTTGCTTGTATTGTCTTATGCTATTTACTTCTGCATCTTCTTTTTAATTTCTTATAAACAGTAATGCATCTCTTAAAGCTACTACTTGTGCTTGGCACATGCGTAACTCTTTTTGGAGCCTCATCGATGTCCTTATCGAAGTGCTTATATACTTCTAGAAGTTGCTTACACATGAAACTAATCTTCATGATGGCCATCCTAAAAATAACTGAAATGCAACATGTTTAAAGTAATTTTGCTGATTCAGAAAGCAACGATGAACCCAGTGAAGATGGTCAATTGTAACTGCCTATTTGTTTTATGTGATTGATGAATTCAAATTCATTGCTTCTGTTTGTATACAATGCATTAACAGGGAGGGTTTAAAGTTAAGACTCTTGTTGAAAAAAATAATTGTTTATCTTTGTTTTTTCCCTATTGAAGTGATATATTATTATCATTCTGTTGAAATTTTGTTATAGAATTTAAAAATAATGGAAAAGGGAGATTTGATGGAGCAAGAGTATGGCAGCCGATTATTTTGGAATATAAGATTGACTAGGAGGAAGAAATAATAGTGGTTGGAAAAACTAAACAAAACTTATTTCTCCATCGAAATCGTACCCTTTAAAAGCTATTTGATGGAGGCATGATTTTCAGTGCTGTATTTTCTTAGTATTATTAACTTTTAAGTACTTCTATTATCAAGGCTATTCTAATTTTTCATTTTGTAAATAATTTTTGTTATCTTCTACTAACTTTAATGCATATTTATCAAATCACATGATACACCAATCTGACCAATGACCCAATAACCCAATAACTCGATATTGGACCAGCTTATGGCCCAGTTCAGTTTCGGTAACCATTCTCTTTATTTGGCATCTCAACTTTTTTGGATAAACCTATAGAATAATACTAACATTAGTTTGGCAGATACAATTCATTTGGTGAAATGTAAGCTTATACAATTTGAGACATATTGCAAATGTGACGATGTTTATTTTATAACATGTTGCAATGTGACGATGCTTAATTGTAATTCTCACATTTTTAAAGTAAGAACAAGGTCTAATTTGTATATGACAGTCATGTACTTCGATTCTCAAAAAATATTTTCCACCCTATTATGTTTCACTAGAGCTAAAATAAATTCATTTCAATGTATTGTAACATTACACTTAGAACCCCTCTCAGAAATACCAAATGACTACTAAGCTATACTGTATTATGCTTACTCCACTGTAGTTTGATGCCAAAAACTCTCTAGGCTTTCTATTTATAGTAAGAATTTAGAATAAAGTTAAGCATGCTGCACCCCTTGAAGGAGATATAATATTTGTCCAAACAAAATAGCATACTAATTTTTAATATGAATAGCCCAAGAACAACATTGGTAATCAAATCAATGATCCATTTACTTCAAGTAAAATAAAACATTTGCAACATGTTATAAAATAAGCATCGTCACCGAAACTGTGATGATGCTTATTTTATAACATGTTCCAAATGTTTTATTTTGCTTGAAATAAATGGATTGTTGAATTTTTTCTCATGATGATGACCGTCTTTGTCTCAAAAAAAAGGAAAAATTTGTCTTTTCCAGGGCTTGATTGCCAAGCTTGTTCTTGGGCTATTCATGCTAAAAGTTAGCATGTTATTTTGTTTGGGTAGATATTATATCTTCTCCAAGGGGAGATGCATCCTTATCTTTATTCTAAATTCTTATTATAAATAGAGAGCCTGGAGAATTTTTGGCATCAAACTAGCAGTGAAATTAGCATAATACGGTATTGCTTAATGGTCATTTGGTATTTCTAAGAGGGGTTCTAGGTGTTATGTTACTATACATTGAAATGGATTCATTTTAGCTCTAGTGAAACCCAATAGGGTGGAAAATATTTTCTGAGAATCGAAGTCCATGACTGTCATATACAAATTAGACCTTGTTCTTACTTTAAAAATGTGAGAATTATAATTAGGCCTTTCACGTAGACCTTAACCAAATTCATTCTACTTGCTAAATCCCAGGAATGGTTTAAAATATGGACTATCTGAGTTTAACTCACACATTCTGTAATTGTGCTGTGTCCTTATCGGTCTAAACTATCATCTGTCTTTTTGTGCCGTAGGGAAGTGCAAAACGACTCATCAAAGCTGCTCTCCATGAAGCGGCTAGAAAACGAGAAATGCGATACTCAGATCTCAAAAGGATTGACAAGAAGGTCCGTCGACATTTTCATGATGATATAACTGTCATTGTTATATTCCTAAATCATGATCTTATGGTCAAAGGTTCCACACAAGGGCCTCAGTTATCAGTTAGAAGTGCTTTGGACCATTGAAGCATATGAAGAGTTCTTTGAGAATTGTCGGACTCTCTCTAGCCGACAATTAACACAACATGTGTTGAAGGTTGTGTTGTTTGAAATATTGACTACTTAGTGGAAAGCCTTTAAACTTATTAACAAGGCCCAGACTGATACAATCACATAGGTCATCAGTCTGGACCAACTGTTTGTGGGGTTTCAATGACTACAGAAAGATTATCATTTTTCTTCCATTTTAAAGTCGATGTTTATCTTGTATCCTAAATTATTGTGCCACCGGGTGTTGTAATTTGACAACTATGGATAGCAATTACGAATAAATCTGTCCTCGATGTTCTTTAGTTCTATGCACTGTGCTGTATCATAATATCTCATTCTCTCTCTTTTTTTCTGTTTTGTTGGTAATGGAAAAAATGGAACCTGGTGATGCTTGACAGTTGAGATTATTGGATCTGTTTGCAAGGGTAAGGCTAATCTCTCTTTAGTTTTACAGTTGTCTTGAGTTATATCCAGCATCCTATAAGAATGGCAATGTGATACTTGGTTGAGGCAGGGATTAACGTGTTGTGTGAAAGGATATTTGCAGTCAATCCACCTGGTGTATTGTTTGCTGAAGAAAATTCCCTATGATTGCATTACTTCTCTCATCAGTTCAAGTGGTCAGTGGAGTATGGGAAGTAGAAAAACTGTTGTTTCCAGCACCAAGGCAACCATGCAAAGCTTTGAAAACTGAGCTTGCTACCGTTATGAATCAAATTCTGATGAACATGTAAGGAGAGTTGGCGTACAGATAAAGAAACAAGTACAAAACATGTGGAACATTCATTGTCTTGTTCTGTTAAATATGAGGATGCATTGAACATGGAAGCTAACCAGACTAAAGATTGTTTATGGGATACCCACCAAACCACAATGAAAAAAGAAGTGTGTGTGCCAAGCTAGCTGGGTTTTGTGACTCTTATCTCAGCCACACAAGTTTAAGCATCCATTTTGGTGGACAATCAAGCAGTTCGAAAGGAGCTTTTAGTGTTTAGTTATATGCAGAGTTCATTGCACTCCCATGATTCTTTTGCAGCAGCAGCAACAACAACAAGATCAATAATTCATCAGATGGATGAACATGGTCTCTTCTAGCTGTGATAGTGGCCAAAATTGCTGCAGTTTGTCATGGTGATCAGAAGCTGCACATGGTTGCTGTCCCGAGCAAATAATAATGTGATGGGTGGTTCAGCCATGCCCACAAGGGAAAGCCAAGTGCCAACTACTTGTAAGCTGATTGGTACTGCACAAACTTCTGCCTCTGCTTGTGGAAGCATTTGTGGTTGGTGTTCTCTTGATGGGATGTTTGCTTGTTCTACTTACTAATAGTTTTTGTTGTATTTGACTTGTCATTGTTCCCCACAAAAAAGGGGAAGAGATCCTCAAGTAAATCGTTCAAATTTAGATACTCAAGGAAATAAATCAAATTGATTCTTGGCATTCACCCTATGTCAACAATATGCAGATAATAAATACTAGGAAATCTGATTATACACAATTAAGTGTAATCGATGTTTTGTATTTATACATTTTTCTTTAGTCTTTTAAAAATGATATTATAATCATCAGGGTGTGTTCAAGAGTTTGGATGATAAAATATTATTAGATGCTGGGTGAAGGTTATGGAATTGCATGGGGATGGGTGTTTCACCCTCTTTTCCTTCAAAGATGAGGAAAAAGATCATCAGATGTTGACTTAGCAGGACAATCATCAAAGAAAGACAAATTCCTGGGGTGTTTCATTCTTTTAATTGCTTCTCAACCACACATTTCTGGGATTGCTGTTTGATTTTGTGTTCAAGCTTGCAAATAAATGTCTTCTCATTTCCACAATGCACTCACCAATCAACTTTGTTGACTGTGTATCAGAGTTCTCAGTTTCACTGACCTACCTACTTGTGAAAGGCCAAAATCATTACTTATATGTTGAAAACTTGAAGCTTTGAGGCATTAAAGTTTTCGGCCATGTGGTTTAACATGGTGAGATAAAGTTTGGCACATCCATATCCATATTCAGTGAATTGGGTTTCTCGTGATGAGGTTCGATGACAAATGTGAATTCAGTGACCTTTAGCAGCATAATACCTTTCGGTGCTCCATGATGATGCTCAGTGATTGAGAAGAAGCAAGCTCAATCTCAGGATCATGCATAGTAATCAAGTTTAGTCTTCGCACATGTATACCCCTTGTTGCCACATGCAATGACAAGCATGCGTCCCAAAGAATCTTATGTCTGCATTAAAGATTATGCGGGTTCCCCGGAAAGGAAACACAAGGCTAAGTTTGTAGCCACCATGCAATCTACCTTTGGCAACACCGAGCATAAAAGAATCCTTTGTAACATCTGATTGAGCTGGACAGTCGGTGTGGTAGCTGAAGCCGCCTACATCAGAATTCAGTGAACCATGAAAGGGGTAGAAGAATCATCCAGGGTGTTCTCATGAGGAGATCATAGAAGAAAACGTGGAGGATGATGTGAGGATCACAGAGAGAAAGAGAGAGAGATAGAGAGAGAGAGAGAGGTTTCGTGCCAAGGAATCATTTGGGTGCATGTTCATTGATATGGGAGAACGTGGCCTTTGCCACAAGCAAATCCCATCTCACTTCTTCTTCTCCCCTCTCTATGTATCATCTCCTGTTACCTAATATATTGCGTATATATATATATACACACACATCAGTCCCGTCTCAAAACCCTATGTGCAATTAGCTCCTCCTCTCTCTCTCTCTCTCTGTACATTCCTTTCCTTGCCTGAGTTCATGCCCAAGGCCTTACAAGTTCATCTTCTAAAAAAGGAAGAAGTGGCCTTGAAAGGAAAATAAATCCCTAGCCATGGAAGCAGCTACTACTCTACAGGCCCTTAACCTCATCGCCACAACCCGAAGACCAGCGGAAGCACATCGACCTCGAGCCAGGCAAAGGCATGCACCGAGAAGAAGGCAGCAAGCGGGCATGAGCAAGAGGGTTGGAGGTAGCATCGGTGCATGGAATAGGAGGAGGCCAACCACCACCGCGAGCTACATGGCGAAGAAGATGAGAACGCTGCGACTGCTCGTCCCCCACGGCGAGTCGATGGAGCTCGACGGACTCCTCCGCGGAGCAGCCGACCACATCCTGCACCTGCAACTACAGGTGAAGGTGATGCAGACGATGGCTACTGCACTCTCACCAACCGAAGCTGATGAACGATCTCTGGCCTGGTGAAGCACTTGATCCTCTCGGCAGCAAGCAGCCATCAAGTCTTTCTTGTGCTCGTTTTCTTCTTCTTATCTTCTTCGTGTTCTTTGGGACTGTTGATATGGACGTATCCCACGAGGACACGCGTGCATGCAGTAAGCGAGATACGAGTAATATCTTACAATGCCTCGTTTACCCGTCGTCACATTCGAGCATTCATGTGGATTTGATGTAATCGGCAATTGCGAGCCTTTCGATCCTCTTATGAAACTTAAGCAATTCCTCCATCCAAATTGTAGCCATATCCAAACTTAAGAAATCAAATAAAACATAGATCAAGTGAAAGTTTTAATTTTAAGAAAAATTAAAATGACCGCAAATGCATATCAATCGAAAAGGTTTAGATAGCAGCAATTCCTAATTCTTGTTGTTATTTACGGAGCAGTTGTATTCGTTCAATTCTAATTACCGCAAATGCATGTTCCGAAGGTTCTCTTCCCTTCGCTTCTTGCTGGTGTTGAGCTCTACGTTGAATTGAAAGAAGATAATGGACAGGTTATCAAGATTGTCTAACCCTTGATCGAGTTGAGCTCCTTACGAGCTATCATCTGCCTCCGCACTCGAGCAATGGTTTGAGGGGCTGTTATACGATGGGAGGATTGTGTGAAGCTCGTCGTCGTGGCTTCAGGGAAGGGATGATGTTTATGTTCTACGTGAGGACACCATCTTCTCGGGTTTGAACGGTTCGACAGCCGCCATCTTCCGCTTCTTTCTTATCTCTATCTCGCTCTCTCACACCACGCGCTGATCAACCGTAATCCAATACGGGTCGCCGCTGGCCCTCCGTCTTATTATGAATCCAGACCCTACATTCTCCATCGGACGGCCGATGTCTTTTCTAAAAATGTCCCACATCCGTTTATCCAACGGTCCTGCTTCTCCCTCAGTCCCAAATCTCTTCCCGTTATATACATATATGTGTGTGTGTGTGTTAAAAATATAATTTATGGAATAGATAGATGCACTGACTCTTTGCCCTATTTCTGCTGTCTCCAACTGCCTGCGCGAGAAGAAGAGGAAGAAAGAGGAAGAGGAGAAGGCGGCGGCGATGGCGGCGATGGCGAGCTTGGCGAGGCGGAGGGCTGGAGATGTTTTCCGGCCGGAGGCGGTGCGGCGAGCTGCCGTGTTCTGCCGGGGATTCGCGGCGGCGGCGGACGAGAACGACGTGGTAGTGATCGGCGGCGGGCCCGGTGGGTACGTGGCGGCTATCAAGGCCGCGCAGTTGGGGCTCAAGACGACCTGCATCGAGAAGCGGGGGACGCTCGGTGGCACCTGCCTTAACGTCGGATGCATCCCCTCCAAGGTGAAAGATCGCCTCATCCCTCCTTCCACTCTCCTCCTTTTCCCTTTCCGATCCCTTTAGCGTGTAGCATCTGTCTTCTTGGTCTTTGTTTCCGATTCATGTTTCTGATGCTTGATTGTGGTGATCGGTGTGAATCTCTGTGTTCGGTGAATCAGATAGATCTGATCTGTTGCTTATGGGCTAGATAATTGAATTCATGTTTTCTGTTTGTTTAGTGGTTTTCATAGATTGTGGTGTTCCTCAGTTCTGATTTTTGACTAAGTATTTCTAACAAGTAGATCGAAGATGCCTCGACTCTGCTCCCCAACTCCATCCGTGTTCTTGTGGTCTTCTTATGGTAAACTGGAATCCTTTGATTGATTTGGGTTTCTTGAGGTAACGGTAATTAGTTGGAAAGGTGGTGGAAACGGTGAGGCTTGAAAGCGGCATAGCATTGTTTTGTTTCGTCCTTTTTGTTCACTATTTGAAGCACTGCATTACATGTATAGTATTTGCATATCCATTCTACAAATCTACTCTGGCACATGCTGATTTTATCTTCTTCAGATAGAAATTGAGTCTAAGCTACCCTATTTTATCATTTTTGGAGGCTTTAGGTATCATTTACTAGTCGGATGATATGCATTTGCAATTGATTGCAAAATGTGGATTATTCATATATAGGAGAGTTGGTCTTTATCAAAATTTAGTGCTTTGGCAGAAGGGTCTCAGACTCACTGACAATGCAAGGGAGGGGTCAAATTTTCTAGGGTTTTGTTTAGGTTT